CTTACATCACTTCAACTCTAGTTGACACTGTTATCTCGATTTTTAGTGTCGTTTCCAATTCATAGGTGGATCTTCCAACTTCTTCATTTTATTGGTGTTTTTTCCGCCATGGGGAAGGTAGCAATCTCCATAGTTATTGTATTTAATCGTCTCTGCCCTTTTCTGTATGCCATGTTTTCATTCTACGATCGCTGAAATTATCTCGGAACGTATCCACTTCAATCCTCCCCGTCGTCCGCAGTTTACCTTCAAAATCGCCTAGTATTCAACTATCAAGTGAACTCTCATCACCGAAAATGCACACTCCATCTGAGATGCGAATGTGAAGCTAAACAGTACTTTTTAGCAAATTCTATGTGGGATTGTTTCAGTTCCTTTTTTCCATCTGACTACGAAGATGTTAGTCGTGTTGAAATGAGGAAAATAAAATCGAAAGAGGAAAGAGGAAGAATGAAGAGTATTAGACAGGGATAAACAGCAACGAGAGATCACTCCAACAACCGATCCGATTTCTTAATGTCGTTAACGTCACATTAGCACCTAACGATTCGTTGAAATGGTTACCGTTCGTCTCAATCGGTTTACCGGTTTTTTCCTCCTCATCGAAAACCACAGTCATCTAAATTATTTCAGATGGATCAATCAATTGGGGCCTTTTCCACACTAACGAACGATTAGAGTCATTTTTTAAGATTACAGGACCACTTTCATACTGACCTCATTGATGTTGTTCTTGCTCAGAAAAGAAATTCTCAGCAAACAAATTATCACTACAAGGTAGTAAACCTATGTTCAATGTACGTCGTCTTGTGCTTTTTCTACATATAATAGAATTCATCGAATTTTAATACCGTATTCACAAATTTGCCGTCTGATTGCTTTATCTCCTTCTCCTTTGTTTCATGGGCTTTATTGATTATTCACGGCAATCTCTACCTTTTCTTTTCTAATCTCTTACTGATCTAGTGAAATTAAAGCCCAATAAGCTGATAATCTGCAAAAAATTTTCTTACAATGGTGCGGAAATTTTGAAGTTTCGACGAGACGACATGAATTCATCGTGTTGTTCATAATTTCCACTTTGTTTTCACTTTTTTGCAACTGATCTTTGATATTTTGGCATATGCGACAACGTCAATGGTCATCGATTATCAACGTGAATCGAGAGCTCCAATCACCTCTTTCGCTCCACTTCTTATCACTTTCTTTCTCCTACTCTCTATCCCTCTTTCTCTCTCTATCTCCCTCTCTTTCCTTCCTAATTTCTCACACTCTTTCTGTCTCGCTCTCTATCTTCCTCTCATTCTCTCTTAGTGATTATAACGTTGTAGGTTATGATTCCGTACGCATCCTCAAGTTGCAGCGGTCCTTTTTGTTACTTTATCCGCTAAATGTCGAATTACTCGAACGGATACCAGTAAAGTTCTCATTTGTTCCCGCTTCCTAGAAAACTACGTAGAAGGGTCCAATTTTTAACGGATACGATGGATCTCATACTTTTGGCGTAGAGCTTTTTGTTTTTACCGTTATGCAGATAAAAGTAACCAGTAGGAGCCAGCCTGACTTTGCACCTGGCATAGGTTTACGCTGACTTATTTTTCTGTAGGGAAATGTTGAACACATTTTCGACTAATATCATTTCTGACAGATGGAATTCTACTGTATATCGCTATGGTAATCAATTATTTTAGGATAAGAGGGCTTATTTCATCTTCTAAATTATTCATGATTGCTTAGGGTTCTGATAGGGTCCATGGCTTTCTTAATGTTGATGGCTGAGATATGCAGTTGTATCTTCTTCACTCACGTTACCTCACTAAGTATCGTGACCTTATTTAAATGCACCGTCGTACTAAACCGTGAGGGCCTTCATAGTTGCTTTTTTAACCTCCATTCCGAAAGTGGGGTGAAAGGTGAAAAGGTGACAGGTGAAAAGCTACATCAGTATACTGGAAAAATTCGCAGCAGATTGCTCACATGTTCTGGTGTAATACTTATCGAAGTATACTAATGATGGTACTGCTCCGTCTAGACGGAAACCTTTGTCAAATGAGAGATATAACCGAGTTAGTTGCCAAGAATAACTACAAGTGGTAGCGTTAGTCGCTGTCTGTTTCTCTTCTGATCTATCCTGCATTCTTCTACATATTCTGTAATAAAACACACTGCATTCGTATGGTGGATTTATTGCTTTGTTTCACAACAGTTTGTCTCCAGTCATCGTCGTCAACGTTTCCTGAGTTATTTTACGTATTTATCGTTAACTTTCATCGTCTTTTTCATCATTCACTTCATCCGCTTGTTCGTAATGATGGCAGTAGTAGTAATAATGGCAGTAACAATGGTAATAAAGCCTATTGTGCATTCTTCAAGGGTACTGGTTTCCTTAACACGACTATTAAGTGGTTTCTGAACAAATTCCTCTGAACGAGACCGCCATGAGAGCGTCGTGTTGAATGAACCAATGTTTGTGCCGAGTGTCACGCTATTCTGGACTGACTGAACAGCGTAAAGTAAACTAAAACATGGAATTCTACTCGTGAAATAATACTGACAAATAAATTCTGTGGAAAGCGTTGTGCTTATCACTACTTGATGTTATGTGGGCATCCAATAGAACTTCCATTTTGATATAATGTTCAAGTCGGAATGTTGTCCATCGACATCTGCCATACTTCCGCGGCGCAGCCTCTGCTCACTTTATCACTCCTGAACTTATCAGTCCTGTACTGTACTGTCTATGTACACCGACGAACAATATCTTACAATGGAATGCCTCAACTTAAATGCCACCTACTTCAATTCTGCTTGCACCTAAAGAGGGCACGTGTAGCACAACGGTCAGGGCTTTCCTGCAATCCACACGTGGTCATTAGTTCAATCGAATGTGCCATCACCAAGCTCTTCACTCCTCCTTGATCGATAAATTACTACCGTACTTGTCTGGGGCGACAAAAGCATTGGTTTGATACATCGGCAGACCACCGCACTCATTGCACAGGTTAGATATACCTTAAGTCGTCTCTGACATATTTTGAATTGATTCAAATGCGTGGTGTATCCCTAGGAGATTGATCTACGCCAAACTTTTCAACTTTTTACGTCCTTCACTTAATAAGTTTTGATGTACCATTACTGTAATGCGGTGAATAGTTGGAGTACAGCGCTGCATTGTGCAGCGTGTTCATCACTCTTTCCGGTCCATGTACTACTATGGCGTCACGGATTACTGATAAAAGTCATCGGAAAAGATAATCTTACTGCGTAATCGTTAAAATTTCAATAATAAATCCTCTTATATTTGCTCAACCTCCATTCATGAAAGCAAGAACGACTCCATCCATGAAATGGTGATCACTTATAATATTTGAGCGATAACGCTATTTTATCGTCGCTTGTGTTTTCATGGTTAACGTAATATTTCCGGGATGGATGGTGATTTTTACAATATGTAGACTCGGTTTCATTTTCTCTCGTTTATTTATGTATCGGTAGTGTTTCTATTTCGAAGAAAACGGATGTCCTCATGTCCTCATTGATCGTTGGTTACCATATTGCTTTTTTTAAAAAACATACACAAACTGAATAACCGTGTTGTGGTTTGCCGCCTATTGGTGCGAGAGATATTTTTGAGTAGTGTCCAGCTGCGATCTACAGCGAGGGTTTCTCTGTCCAGTGGTGTCATCCAAGCTGAGAATGAGCACTTCGGCACTTCCAGCTCAATATGAAGTAAACGTGTGCCACAGCAGATTTTGGCGAGTTGCCTTTGAGATCCGTATCGTCGGAAATTGTAAAGACAAAGGGGTTCATACAAAAGTGTAATGGTGTTCGTGTACTTGTAGCAAATGAATCCAAGGCAGGTCCTGCGCTCAGTCAAAATGAATGGACATTCTGCCATTATTCTTCTGTGTTACTCGGCCACTGATGGTGTTACAAGTGATACAAATAATTATGGATGAACAAAAACTATTTTCAATGCCATGACGAATCTTCGCAATGTGTTAGCCGTATATTTCCTAATCTTCTAGAATGAATGGCATAACTTTACGAAAAGAAATCGTTACAAATGGATAATCGGTAGACAAAAAATATTGGCCTGCATAAAGGTATATCACCTAGTAAATTTACATTATTTAAACAGTGTTCCACTTGAGAAGATTTGCATCGATGTTGGTACAAAGACTCATACATCACGAACAATGAATGCTGTGGACCTGCCGAAACGTTAATCAAAGTGAAGAGTTTTTAGTAACAATATCGTCTAAGTTTATGAATTCAACGAAATAATGAAAAAAGCACTTGCGCACTGGTTTGACGAGACTTTTTTCTTTGGCGTCTCGAGAACCTCGTCCTAGAGCGTTTCCAGGTCGTCGCCATATTGTGCCGGTGAAAGATGGGTGTTGGAGGAGGATTGCCTCCTTTCGACTAGGTTCTCCGCACGGCAGCCGCGATTCCTGGTATTTATTTGCTCTTAACCTGACTGTAGGTGGAAATTCCGAACGAACTCGTCGGTTGGTGACTTCATAGTAGAGTTGGACCTGAGCTGTAAAACGCAGTCAGACTCCTGGGAATAAACTCTTACCAACAAGAGAAAATGTACCGCGAGGTGTACTATCCCATACATTCATAAGATATACCAATTTTTTTTATTGTTCTAGTTATTTCTCTACATTCTATGCATACGTCTGCTTTTTTCGTAAAGCGTTTTTACTTGTCAGGTGTTTTGTCGTGATCATATCAGTTTCCTCATGTGATACACAACTACTCTTGTGCCCTCATTCTACTTTTTTAGTTTCGTTTCTTATTTTTTTAATCTTCGATATTTTTAAATAATACGAACCGTTCCCACCACTGAGCCATTCATTATATCCATTCATCCACTTCAGATGCTGTTCGCGCTTTGTGCGCTTATACATTCGTCTTCGGCGGCGATTTCCTCGTTCAGCTACGTGCCATTGGGGAACAATCCGACATTATACCAACCGGGCCTTGAGCCAATTATGCATCTGGACCAGCACACCTTCTACGATACCGTATTCCGTCAGAACCATGCGTTTGTCGTGGAATTTTATGCCGATTGGTGGGTACAAAATAAACGCAATGATCGTCTTAACGCCGTTAAGTAGTCGCATGAGCGTCACTATGTAGATTTGTATCGCTTTTTCACGCTTTTCTTGCCTTCTGTTCTATCGCATACGTAGCACTTCATTTTGTTGTTTCACACCGACGAGGCTGGTTAGGATAATAGTGGTTACATCTTGAAAATCCATCAAGAACAGATAGAACTTCTTTTGTGAAATAACAAGATCAGAAACAAATCAGTTCTTGATAGAACGTAGTAACGACTTTTGCGAAAAAATATATCTTTCTACTTCTGTTCAGCAAGCACGAGGTGCTATTTTATTTCTTTATTTACGCACAAGCTGACGTTTCGGCGGATTTCGCATTCCTCAGAGCCGCTTTCTATGAGTCTTCCACTGAGTACGTCGCGTGAAGACTGACCGCCCGCACAGAATTCACATGGAAGCGTAATGTCGAAAAAGTGAAAAGTCGAAAAGCTTTTGTGAAAAAGTTCGAAATGAACGTGGGGAATATTAGAGATAGATGTCTTGTCCGGAGTTTGGAAACATTTGTTTTCGTTCATGTCTTTCCTAAGCGATTACATCACCAGACGTCATTTTGCGATTGAATGTGAAAAGAAATTATCGCGACCTATAAATTGGCGTTCTTTTAAAGAAATCAGTCCCAGCTCAACAGTTGTCATATGATGTCAACCATTCCTTGTTATAAAGAACAAAGAGAGGCATTATGCATCATGAAAAAATTTTCTTCAGAAAAAGAAATGGAAATTAACCTGAAGGAAAAAATACGCCTTTCATTGACTATCAACATTCCCAATAAGAAGTTTTGTTCTGAAAGTTCATTCCCAATAATTTCTGTTAATAAAGAACCACAAAGCTTTCCCACATGTGTACGGCCAATATTTTAATGCATTTCTGGAAAGTAGGTAATCTATACCATAAGAACGAATGCTAAGTAGTCCATGAGTCCATGCTCTTCCATGCAGTCATCCTGTACCCGTGCTATGGTAAAATGTCAAAGTCACTTCACGGAGCAGTTAAATAGAAGCTGATAGCGAGCCAAATATATGTAGGATAGGAAACATGATTTTTTTTCTGAGATTTCATCTATCTCGTTGATTATATGCTGGCCATTAAAAAGACAGCGTGCATTGTCATAAATGCAAATTCTTCCTTTCATCTGGTTCTCAATTCGCTTTAAGTATTTTTTTTCCGTAACTATTGAAATTGCATCATTCACAGAATTGGTGAAATGATCGTTTTTAAACTTTTCGTTCATTCGTGTATTTTTTTGCGATTTCACTTCTGTACAAATATGAATAATGTCGAGGTTTCTGGTCACATTGAAATCTAGCTAGTGAGCTTTAGATTTTAAAAATTAATTTTAAAGTCAAGTTAAATGGGAGAGAAATAAAAATAGGCGTGGATTGATTTTGTCATAAAGTTCGGAATGAGTACATTTAATGGTGGATTACTGAGCTCTCGAACATTTCAGTAATTTCGCCAAATAGGGGACCGTGCAGCACAGTGCTTAGAGACACCCCCGTTACCCACTTCGTCTCTCGTTTGATCCGCCGTCGCGAACTCACCCAGCCCTCTACTCGTGCGAGGTGCACAGATTGGTTTCAGAGTTTTACAGGAGAGTAAAGTCACTGAGTTGATACATCGGTAGATTTACACAAGCGTTTACATAGGCTCGATTTTGATATAAGTGGAAAAGAAGAGGCATAAGACTAGAAGCCTGAAGAAGCAGCATTGTGAAGGAAGCTACTGTTAAGAATCTATGCGATACTTTTTTTGATTTACTCCTTATCATAACCATACCATTTCTCAAATATGTATTACCTTTACGCTAATATTACCTACTTAACTTTTTTATTTACTGCCTTTTTCTTCTTAATGGCAGGGTATGTTGTGAAATATAACTCGTATGAAGTGCTGAGATACCTGCAAAACTCCGGACCACAGGTGTATGCAGTGGGGAACGAACACGCGCTGTTGTCCTTGCCGGTAAGGACAACAGCGCGTGTTCGTTCCCCACTGTATACACCTGTGGTCCGGAGTTTTGCAGGTATCTCAGCACTTCATACGAATTACCTACTTACTTCATACTAGAATAGCCCGTCGGCATTGGATGTGCCGGCCCAGCATAATCTCCATTTTTCGAAAAAAGCCTTTGTGGTCTCTGGAATCCCGCGGTCAGCCAGGCCAAAGTCTGTCCTAGGTCTTCCACTACAGGCAGTCGCACTCTTTGTGGATCAGAGTGAGATTTACCACCATACGACTTTGATACTAGGACGGTGGCGGATCCTGACATTGGTTTAGTCTTAGCTGGGCTTCCTGATGGAAACACCGAACTCCTCAGTTTGGGAAACCCTGCTAGGGGATGAATCCACCGCTGTACATAGCAGTCTGACGCCGAGGAACACCTGCCAGCCACCATGAGGCGGTAAACCGTTGGGAGACACGCTAATATTAGTGCACACAAGACCCTAGTTCAACCGCGCTAGCTTGATAACTGATCGTGATTGGTATTTGAGAACACCCTAACGCGGATATCCAAGTATTCGAAAAAAAATGGACAAGACTAGCAATCCATTACATTCATACAGAAGGCGAAAAAACGTCCAGTAGCAGTTGACTCTACGGGTAAATCTGAAGGCCCTCGTAGGAGAGGTGTGCGATGAAACGATTAGAATGAAAAAAGTGCAGAGATTTGCCCAATAATTGTAATGTCGAGTTGCTTGGAGAATTGCTCTATTTAGTTTTTTAATCTATTTAAACCCTATCCTCAGCGTTTGTTCTCTATGGCAAAAGTTAGCTATTCAGAGAGTGTATAAGCAAGCAAAGATCGAAAAGAACGCCATTTTAATTTACCATTATATTTTTGCTTCAATTCTCTGAATCAACTTATCAGTTTTATTTTATGAATCTTGATTCCATTAAAATTTTAATGTTTGTGACAACATGTTATTGAACGTGTATTTCCTAAAGGTGTGGTCATTGCCGTGCATTCGCTCCATACTACCGAGATTTCGCCTACTATGTCAAAGAGTGGAATACAATTGTGACGGTGGCAGCAATCAATTGCGCAGACAGCTTTAATGCTCAAGTATGTAGTGAAAACGGGATTACTTACTACCCAATACTTAAGGTAAAGTTGTTGAATGTGCTTTTGTAAGATTTTATGTGCTTGTTTTCTATCCAAGTATAGTGCAATGAGGCGGCATAAGTGCACGCAGTGTTGCTGGTTCGGCTTTCGAAGGCCAGTCGGAAATGAATTCATCCACATTCTCGAGAGCAGGTTTACATGTAAAAAATGACGACACTGAGATATTGCTTATTATTTATCTTAATCTTGCCTGCACAAGCAACGGGAAGACCGATTGCCTTAACAAATTTGAACACTAGAACTTAGCACGTTGATCAGCACCGTGAAATCACTATTCTTCAGACTTTAGCTCAAGTTTCCGTGTTTTTCTTCACTGTTCTTTTATCATCTTTCCAGTGCAGAGTTTTTTTCTATTCCTGGATGATGTAGTGGTGAAGTACGCTGCTCCCCGGTAAGGACAACAGCGCGTGTTCATTCCCCACTGCATACACCTGTGGTCCGGAGTTTTGCAAATATCTCAGCATTTCATACGAGTTATAAAACCAAGATCCACCACCGTCCTGGTAATAAATTAGTCGCATGGTGGCAAATCTTCCTCTGATTCACAAGGGCTGCGACTGCTAGTGGTGGAGACGAAATGGGGCAGACTTTAACCAAGTTGACCTCGAGATTCTAGGGAACCACAATTGCTAAACCGGCAAATCTCCGGAAGAAATGGAGATTGTGCTGGAGCCAGCACAACCAGTGAGTTCGGGCCATCTAACTATCCAGTTATAAAATGAATACCTTCTTGGATTGTTAAGCTAACAAGAGGTTGGTACGGATGTTTATTTGGCTATCGTTTCGGTGTTTTCGCCTTAATTAGAGCCAGTGATGCGAGTCTATGGTCCACAGTCGTCCGCCTTCTCGATGTGGTGTCTTCACCGTCGTACCGAGTCGGATCTTCTTCAGTGAGCACAGCTCGAATGAATCAATCTCACCTAGCGTCAGTCTCAGAAAAAATTTTATAGGATGAATTTACATTTGTACGTCCCTACGAACTGATCTTGTTGAGCTGATGCGAAGTTGGTATAATTATCGTTGTTGTTGTTGTTTTTGATCGATGGCTAATGTTTCGGCGATTTCGTCTTCCTCAGAGCCTGCAGGTATCTTATACAAGAATGGCTTAATAATTCGGTGGAAAAACCAAGGTATTGATGAAGATCTAACATATAAATAAACGCCGTATAGACCAAGAACTACTCATCGCTTCATGTGGGATGGCCAGCGAAACCAATCCTTGTCGAAAAATAGTTTTGAAATAAGGTTCCGCCAGATCAGATCACGTGTGATAGTGAGGCATTCGCCTTTCCTCTTCATCTTTGGATTTTTGAAATTTATCCAAAATGCCTCAAGAGTCTTGCGCGCTGAGGTTTTCGATTTCTGCGCAGCGATCCGGACAGTCACTTTAAAACATCACCATTGTGCTTTTGTCCTCTTTGTGAATTTATTACGATGTTCATCAACAGCGAACATCGTGAATTTTGTGGAAATCTTTGTGAAATCCCTCTTTTACCATTACTTCAATAGATGCATAATCCGCCTTCAGATATCGTGAGGATCCTAGCATTTCACGCATTCTTTTCGCTGTCATAAACCGTTATCCATGGAGGCGCTCAGATTGGTATGTATACACATGGGTTCGATTACGATGCAGAGATCTGAAAATAATCCCAACTGTGAGTCCAGCTGGCCCTTTCGCAAAACCAGCTAGTGGGTTCATCTTTCTGGAGGTCGTCCTGAAGGTCATCATTTGAATTGTTTCAGACTTTTTCATACGTAATGAATACAAGGACGTTGAAATTTTTCGCAGTTTGATTCGATTGTGTCCATTAGTAACAGTTGAATTGTTTGCTCATCTTGAAGAGGAAAAAATGGACCGCAATGATTGCGCAAGACGATGTCGACGGGGGTCATTCGCAGATGATCCGTTAGTGTTGAGTGTTTTCAGAAGAAGAACACAGTACAACACAAACAGAGACAGGAAAATGCAAACAGAGTTCGATGTCCTTTTGAAATTAAACTGTTGAATGGTTTCGTACCAGTTAGATGGGCTTAAAGAAATCTCCAAGCATATCGACATTTATTTTGGATTAGAAGCATGCTTTTTTTAAGTCTGCTATTATGTTGGCTTGTTATTTCTGTTTTAAAACTCACTGTGAAATATCATTTTATAATTGCCTAGGTCCTCTTTGATATACACCGCTTTAAGTGAATAGAACGAATGAGTGAAGAAAGATAAAGTATTGGAAGGCTTTTTAACACATTGCGATACTAACATGCCTCGTTCACATGCGGTGTCTAAATCAGTTGATGAGAAAACAGCTAGAATATCCGTCTTTCCAGTGAGTGGGGACTTTTCTGCTGTTGACTCAAGTGCTCTATTTTCACTGATGACACAATGTGTGGGTTTGCATTTCAGCCACATCTGAGCCTTACACGTTGCCGTCGACAATTTGCAAAGGGTTTCTTAGTAATAATCAGTCGTCTTTCTTTGCTCCTCGGAATTTTCATGTTGTTAATTCCTGGAATGTTGGTATAGCTGTGCTAGGTCGTTGCCATGTCCTTATCATCACATGCAGTTGGTAGGATTTGTGAGTCGCGAGAGCTTTTCCAAGGTATATCTTGTACCAATACGCCGACAGCAGAGATAAAGGACTGGTTCAAGGGCGAGGTCTAACGAGCGACCGTGCGCCTGTTTCACGTCATCTCTATGCGCTCCATTTCCTGTGTTATGACTTCTCATGACTTTTTTCAATTTCAGTACTTTCCACGGACTGCCAGATCGCCAAATCAGGCCCAAAATTTGGAAACTAAACATTCAGCGGAAGAAATACGTGAGGCGGTGATGAGAATGGTAGCCAATGAGTATTCGGTCGCTAAATATCCAGACTGGCCGAATTTCTCACACATTGTCGTTGATGCGTAAGGACTTACTTAAGTATAAGTGACTAGGAACTTGAATAACTGCATCAGTATAATAAAGCGAATGCTCGAATAGTTGGCTTTAATATTTCTATGTGTCAGCTTTTCAACATACTAGAAAATAATGGCCTATTTTTAATTATCGAAATACATTCATCCTAAAATATTCTGAAGGATTCTCACACTTGGTCAGTTTGTAGGGTTTATATTACTTCAATATTCCTTCTTTTTGGAATTTAGAGTTGTCTTAAATGTCTTTCAATCTAGGATAGATTTTTTGATCACATTAACAGAAAGTAAATTCAGTCGAATAATACTTCTAATGAGAAAACATTAATAGTTTTGAACTAAGTATATTCAAGCTTTCTGTTTTAGACATTCAACTTATGGCCACCTTTGGGAAGGAATACCTGAATCTGCAAACTATTTAGCGATCATTTTCGAAGTTTACGATGGAATCGGAGCACGGGTACCTTACTCATTTTTGTTGGTTCTCTGAATTAAATACTTTTGTTTATTTATTGACTAAAGGTTTTGTTACATATACATTTCCGTTACCACTAAGTACTTAGAGCCGATGAACCTTGATGGTGCGTTTTGTGAAAAATCGTGTTAGTATAGTATAAAACCCGTAGGTTGGTATTTCGCTGACTGAGAAAGATTTTAAGCTGGAGTCTCAAGGTAGCCGTGGCCGGTTATTCGCAGGTTATTATGCTCACTTCAAGTCATATGGACTCCTGCTGCTAAGTGATTACGCCTTTTCCACTGCTACAGTATTTCACGTTATTGCTTTAGACCTAGCTCGGCGTCCAGAATGAAGCGTCGAATTTTTAGCTTGAGTGATCCACGTAGGGATAGGCTCCAGTTATAAATCTTAGTTCAACATAATCTTTTTGCCACTGTAAGGAGGTGAATCACTGAAATAGAGTTACTAAGAGATTACAAGCAGATAGCTTTCTATTGGTCACCGACTGAAGAGATCCCACAATATCTGAGACGTTCAATGAATATGACAGACTGACAGAATATACAGACTTGTGAGGCAGCGGACAATATGAGCCACTTTGGTGGCTTTAGAGGAGGAAACTGGCCAACTTATTTCTCCCGACCAAGTTTGGTTATCAGTTCTTCCAGCTTTGTGTTATTGAGTGAAAACATTGTCCTATACTTTCAGCATTGAGAAAGAGCTGTGTTAAGCATTCAGAGCGCTGAAGCGATTTAACATATTGATTAACTGGCATTCCCAGCGCTAGGATGTTTTTTACGTATTAGATGTTCGGACAGTGCCCTACATTTAAGCTTCAGAAGAATATACCTTGAAAAATAAAAATGGTCATATATTGAGAAGAGAAAATAACAGCTGCAGGTTGGTGTGGAATAATGGGGAATCTAAACAACTTCAAAACAGGCCTACAAAAAATGAATGACGTACTCGCTGCTGGGGTGAGCCAGCTGTATCACAGCTGGAGATATCTCTTGACCTTGGGGCCGTGCACCTTGGACCTTGGGAACAAATTCACACACGAATTCCATCAATATCGTGGCCGACGGGAGCAAAATGAGAAAAAATGAAAGTAATGCTGAATTTCGCAAGAAATGTGAAGAAAAGATCGTATAAACTAAATTGTATGAGAGCCGCTTTTTCGTGACTTCCAATGAGGAAGTTTCAGCTTTCGGCTACCTCTCCGTGATACGAAGTACTCATAACGTCGCCGCTCTTGACAGCGTGTTCAATAGCCCTGGTCCTCGGTGATCGCCATTCTACTTACTACAACAAGGTTACTGACATGTTCAAAGCCAGGAAGAATTGTAAAGTTGAAAAGATGGGAACATTGTTGGGTGTTCTTTGTTCTACTCACTTCACTGCATCCTTGGTGCACTTGAAAGCTCCCGAAGCCGTTCGCTTTCTCCTATTCAGCTTTGGAGCTACGTCGTTCATAATGTTGATTTTTTAACCCAGATACACATGACTGGAGCATTCGGAAGCATTCATCCAGTTAAGCGTGAAAAGGCAATAAGAAATAAATCTGTTCTTCTTAGACATCGTTCTCGTGAGATTTAATCGGAAGCGGATATTTCCATAAGCGTTATCAAAATCGGCTAGTAAGTATTCGTTCCAGGTTAATGCTTGGTGTTATGAAAACGATATCAGCAAAACGAAGGGAAAGTAGTCGACTATGTAATTCCACCTGCATGTTATCCCATTCAGGTTTTCATATCTAGTCGAGATAAGCCAAATGGTCTAATTTATAGTGTTTGAAGAGTAATCTCTAAAAGTAAAGTATGTCCTGAAAGGTGGGATGCCGGTACCATCAACGGCTAAGATAATTCACTGGGTCAAAGCAGGTAAAAAATGGATAACATATTCTAGAAAAATTGTAAGGAAACTCTCTATAAGACAACTATCGAATGGTAGCGCCGAATTGATACGTTGGTAAGTCATCGTAAGTGATTTGTCGGATATCCATTAATGAGCTCTAACAATGATAATGAAGTCAAACGCATAGAGCATTCCTCAGGGATTGATCAACGCCGAAGGCCTTATCCTTTATCCTTTTATCCTCTTATTGCTCGGATAGTTTGACATACCATTTCTTCTACAACTCTCATGCCCAGCATTTTCAGTTCATACTGGACCTCGTATCACGTTCAAATGTTCTCGGTGCTCGGCGAGCTCTCTCGAATTCTCCACTCGTCCAGATGCTAAGAATCCTTCAATTTCCGACTGTTGCACTATTCAAACGTGATCATCAACAAGCGCTTTATATGCAAATGTATGGAAGTCGTCATATACTGTGCTTGGTTATGGAGTATTTCCATATTCAGTGTATAACAATTACAGGTACTCAAATTCAACGTATTCGGATCTTGATCGTGTGATTCTGAATGATGCACACGATTCACGGGCACTTCAAACTTTACGTACAACTACGATACCGCCACTTATGACATCCCCTCAAATATCAATAGTGGACTGTAATATATATCCGGACAGGTTAGTATGAACAAAAGAGAAATTGCAGTAAATCTGAAGGAATACTTATAAGCAAGCTTACCCAAAACCTTGTACATTCACTTAATCTTGAGTCCACATAGTAATGAGCAGAAAGGCAATGCGTAGAGCGTGACACCTTACTAAGAAGAGAAAGGTTAATGGATTCTTGGAGCTTGAGTGAGCTTCGTGCATTATTGTTTGTCTATATGCAACATTAATGGTATTTTGAGAAGAGACAAGAATTCCTCCATTAATAGAGCAGTATAGTTGTTGGAGACCTTATAGGCTAATAAAGAAGTCTGTGCTTCATTTTCTTAAAGGCATGCGAATATTTTTTGTAAAATATTTCTTGAATTTTAACCTGTAATCGACGACATGTGCACTATACCTACTTGGATACTTGAGCGGCCCATTCTCACTGGTTGTGCGGGCTCCGGCAAAAATTCATTTTTTTTGGACTTTTCTGGCTTAGCCATTGTAGTTTCCCGAAGTTCCGAGGTCAGCCTAGCCAAAGTCTGTCCCAGGTCGTCACTACCACTACCAGTTGCAGTCCTTGTGGATCAGAGGGAGATTTGCCACCATGCGACTAGTTTGATATCAGGACAGTAGTCGATCCTGGTACTGGTTTACTCTTAGCTAGGCTTTGTTATAAAAACGCCGGACCCCTTCTCAGTTTGTGAGTCCTCTCGAGAGATGAATTCTCCGCTGTACATCGGGGCTCGACACCCAGGAACACGTCCAAGTCACTATAAGGCGGTAAGCCATTGGGAGGCATGTGCACTATAGTGTACGTTTTCAGTTCAGTGTGTTTCAGAACATAACTTTTTTTGCCACATTGTATTTATATTTATTATTTATTCGATAGCTAATCGAAAGTGGATCAAAGTAGCAGGAGGTATACAACAAAAATCATTTTCTGCACTTAATAATTTATAAAAACCTTTCCTTTGAGCAAGTTTATTAACCGGGAATTTGACTAACAATGAACCGCTGCTTTATTTCATTTTAATCTACGTGGTTAGAATTCCGAGGAAGACTCATCGCACGCTGCAAAACACTTCCAAGACCCGAAAGCAATATGCGCAACGAATCATAATGACATGTGGCAAATAATATCATACATAATTAATAGCATCCGTTTGCATCAATAAGCCGATAGAACAAAGCCTGTTCTATAATTCTGTCATGTTCGTAACCTCCTAAGTCCTCTAGTTATCGAAAAATTGTACCTTACTGTCAAAAAACCAGGGAGTCTGTAAATGGTAAAAATAAGACGTCGTCCCATGCAGCAGTCAAGCGTCGTAGCCAATGGGTTAAGTTTGTTTATAGTTGAAACTTCCAAAAATTAGTTCCTAGGACCGATTTTCTTTTAACCTAGGCTTTGATCAATAAGTTATGCTTATTGATGAGCAGACACGAAGCTGTTATCATAATATCTATTTCACAATGGTTAACATTTCGGAATTCCTTTCTAAAACTTACTTCAATGTTGAAAAATGATTTTGTTGAATAAACTGTGTGTTAAGTACGATCTTTTAAACCTCTGTGGGATATCGATTACTCGCAGCGATAGGTAAACAAGTGATCTATTGATTTTTTTAACGTTAAACACTAACCATACATAGAAGTATAAAGCGTTAGACATGACAAGTATTAGGTGTAATTGTTCTAAGATTACAATGCACCCTTAATTCCTTAAGAACTACCCAACTGTGTGAAACTACAGGAGGATAAGATGTTTTCTATCTCAAATACTAATCTCTTATTTCACTTCGTACAGTTGTCGACAGCTGTATTTCGTATCGGAGACGGACATGTTGAAAGCAATGCGCATGGCACTCTACGATGAAGTGATTCGAACACCTGGTCACGTCAAAGGCGAGAACTTCACTGCACTTGAGGATTTCATCACTTTTCTTTCCCATGTGGGTTCTCTAGACTTCAGTCTAGACTTTCTTTGTGCTTAACAAGCTTAAGAACCCTGTTATTTCAAATTATGGTAGTTGCTTGGGTTGCCAATTCTCGTTGTTAGGAAAGAAAATGATTCAATGCTCATAAAATGTTTATCTAGAGAAAATTCTTGCATGTTTCAGCACTTTCCAGTTCTTTCCTTCTCAAATGATGCTCGATCGCGACGTACTACTTCCACGGTAAGCGTCACTTTATCTGCTTTAACGCCTCCTGATGCTTCGGTATGCATAAATATAGATAGAAGCAGAGAACCAGAGCAATTTGTTGCTCCCAATGAGTGGGAATTGTGGCAATATGAACATGCAGAAATGATGTTACATGAGTGCTTTGTGTTCATAGAGAATCGTGCACTAGTGTTTTACTAAGTTGAAAAACACTTTTACTTTGAGGTCTGAGTATATAAAGGTGATTGTAATCGTTAGGTGGTTACCACGAACAGCTATCGGCGCAAGTGGGTCGAGAAGTAGTTTGTGGCCTTTCGACTAAGTTTCCTGTGGCACTGCAGTAATATACAGCGTATCTATATATTTGTTCTTACGCCCTTGTTGAGCTGATGCGAGGTTGGTATCAGTTGTCGTCGTCGTTGTTGCTGTTGTTGTTGTTGCTGTTGTTGCTGTTGTTCGATGGCCGACGTTTCGACGATTTCGCCTTCCTCAGAGCCGTGCTGTTGCAAGTGGGACACAGAGTGAGAGTTACTCATCCGAAACGTCAGCCATTGAACAACAACAACAACAACAACGATAACTTAAACCAACCTTACAACGACTCAACAAGAGCAGTTCGTAGGAACAATTATTAGAGATAATCGATAATTATGCCGTGGTTTATAGAAAGTCGGTCTTTTAATAAATACGGCTACGGCTACGGCTTTAATATACGGCTTAGTTTTACTGTTAGCTAGGCCTCCAAATAGATATGACGGACTTCTAAGGTTAGGTCTCTCTGCCAAGAGGTGACCCCTGTGTTAAACCTTGCAACACGACACGCAGGAGCGTGCATTTTATCAGACATGATAGTTTGAAGCGGATGAAGCGCTGAGAGAAATAGGAGTAACAGAGCGTGTGAGTGAGCTGGAAATCAGAGAAAAAAGTGAAGCTTTTGTTTCATGTTAGCAGTATATTTCCTATGTACTTAAAAAGAGGTATGCAAGTACACCTATTTTTTCTGCTATTTTTTTACACTGGAATTTTTTAGGTTCTTAGAAATAGTGAACGGGCTCGCATGGTTTTCGCCCACTTGAGAGAATATCTGGGACAACAACGAGGTGAAAATTCAGTATCTGTTGACGATTACAGGAGACAGTTCGAGAACGTTGAGGTGAGCCATTCACGTTGTGTAAAACACTCGGCCAGCCTAAAGAGGGCTCTGTAAAATACAAGCGTGTTATGAAGACTCAGTCCACTTGTCCAAGCCCAGGAAATTTTTAATGTTTATTAACTTTTCCAGTTTTTTTTCTTGGTTATACGTGTTTTAGAAAACTAAAATGTTTTGAATCCATTTTCAGCGAGTGTTTGCCAGTCCATTCCCAGTCAGTTCTTCATGGCAGCATTGCAAAGGTACAACACCAGTTTTCAGGTCTGTTGTCTTCTGTTGGAACAATCTTTGCTAAGAAAACTTGTGAAAACGAGACCATAACCTACGCACTGCATTTGAACTATTTTTCCCGATCCTTTTTCATATCTGCTCTGAGGGTCTCATTTCTTTTCAACCATCATCCAAAGCGGTCTTCCAACTTTTGCGTCTAAGTACAGTAGCTCCTTGACGATTTTGTTTCGTCATGTCATGAATATTGTTAAAGGCTGGAGGAGCCGTTTCTCCCCAGAGTCCAGAGATAGCTGCTAGAGCGTTCCTACCTGAACTACAAAGAGTGATCTCTTCTCAGACAAATCTGGTAGCAATTTCTCAACCTAGGAAAGATGAGAGGCTCAGGAAGCCTAGAGCAGAGAGAACCAGCACCGCGCTGGTGATTATCGGCATCACTACCACTACGAAACCCTCTCCTTTTCAGTTGCAGACATCATTCAGTTTGAGCTATATGACCACCAATTGCCTATTCTGAATAGAACCGAAAATGTTAGTTCTTAGCTTGTTTTCATATTTTTTGAAGGGAAACCCCCAATTTAGAGGCTATACATGTGGACTATGGACGACATTTCATGCGCTCACAGTGCATACCTATATTGACACTATCAAGGAGAACAGTATTGATGCATTGAAACCACTCAAAGCGATCCAGGTGTCTGCTCTTGTATTCTGTCATAGTATAATTCAGCTCTTTCTAAAGTGAAAGTGGATGTTAGCGTTAGTAGTTACAGGGCTGGGTAAGAAGTTTTTTCGGTTGTCAAGATTGCAAGAATCATTTCATGAATATGACCACAAAAATGTTCCCGATGACTGAACGAAGGGTGAGTGTCTCTGTCCTGTTATGAACCTTATGTTAACAAAAGTCCAAGAACTTATTCTTATGCCAGTCTTAATCGTTGTTCATACCAATGAACGGGCACGCCAGCAATTACAAGCTGGATGCACCTATTGCCTTCATTGTGTTCTGTGTTTAGTTTTCTAATCTGTAGCCCTATCGTTAGTTTAAATTTAGTGCTGTGACTAACTCATAGTTTGTCAAATTAATGAGCAAATAATTCCCTTTGAGAACTTCGTTTCTTCGATTGTCGCTTTTCGTTACCGGATTATAAAATCTATCAATTATGTGTGTATAAACTCGATACAATTTAAGCAAGATTGTCTATGCAGGTTCGTTATCCACATGATATGATGACGTACCTCTGGAGAGCTCACAACATCGTGAACAATCGTCTTCATGGTGATCCGAGTGAAGATCCACAATTTCTCAAGATGCAGTTCCCCCCGCCATTTCTCTGTCCCATTTGTCATTCGGGGGGACAATTTAGCAGACGACAGGTATCGTTTACAAGGAAGATTTTAACACATATCAGCAAAGCGTAGTAGTTCTTATTTTCGCGCAACCATCTCAAATGTATATGGTGCTACCTCCTTTATTTCTTTAGAGCAGTTAGCAAGGTCTAAAAGTGGCCTCTGCCACAGACTACTTTTTAAGGTACATGATTAGGCCCAATCGCAATCCAATCGGAACTATATAGCGTATTCTTTCCTTGATGAGCTTATTCGAAATATGTAGCGTATTATCCGCTTCCTTTGTGCCTACACGAGGCCTTAGGTAGCGTTCAGAAGTGCAAACACTGTGATGAACAACTCAAAACACCGACCTTCTCTAAACCTTAGCATTAATAATCCGTGATTGAATGGTTGTTGGATCTAACAGTGTCGCAATAAAACATCTTTGAGGGATTCTGTGAAATATCTTGTTGGACCGAACAAAGTCGCTGCATCATTGTACCCTTTTGAAATTGAAGGAGACGAAATCTCAATATCGGCTATGCTCATATTGCTAATGTAGCCTCAGGCAGAGTAGTTCCTCCGGTATTAATCAGGAGTTTCATAGCTATAGTTTTCCCAAAGTCACCTTTCGTATTGCATTGAAAGTGTTCCTCATCTACCTTATTACATCATACGAGGGTAAACCTGGATTACACTAGTTGAAAGGGACTCTAAACCACATCTTATGTTCAACCCATTAACTTGAAAGAATTGGCCTAGAATTAAGGATTTTAGGCACGTAAACACATCCACTCATACTTATAAAAATATAGTTGTGCAATACTATGCATGATTGTTGTACTTTGTTAAGTATACGAACCGTATAAATCAGTCATTCTTGCGGAAGGAAAGATCACATACCTTCCTAGCACACCTTCGTACAAGGACAAGCACCATTTAGTCTAACTCATCAACAACACGTGCTAGTTCCGCGCTAAATCGGTCCATAATCGCTCATAGAGGGGAATTCGTAGTTAAATAATATACTAATCGTGTAATTATCAATGTTGAAAATGTGTACCCAAACAGCAATAAAACCATATCAGGTACGTCACTTCCTTCTGCGATACTACGGAAGCATTAGACCACACAATCACCAAACAAACCGACATCTTGCCGTGCACTAACTTCAATTTGCGTTTACGACACACAAACAACGTTCATAACCTGGTATTTCAACTTCCGAAATAATGCACTACGGTAGCATTAGCTAACGTTTAAACTATCTTGCAGTTCGAATTCTAAATGGTTATCATTTCTCAGGTATTTTGTACGATCTTTGGAACGATAGTTTTCTAACAGATATCTTTTACATTGCATTAAAACCGTGCCTCATCACTAGGAAGCTGAGGTGCAAACACGGGTTTACTATGTACATTTCTGCTCTTGCTTCACTTCTGATTCTAATTTATGTGATTGTGAATATGTCTAAATTATTACTACTGTCATTTGTCCATCGTATGGAGTAAAGTATGTTAGCATTTGTAACTGCTGTTTAATCTTAGGTATGTTACGTTGAACAAGGCACCATTGAGATAGTACATTTGATTCACTCTCCAAATAAACAAATAAATATTCAAGCAGATTTTAATGCACATATCCAAAGAAGGAATCATTCTATATCATTGGTATTATTCATATGTGAAACTATTACAACGCAGTTCATATTTATACTTTCGCAACAAGTCCAGTATCGGGAGCGGGCTCAAGGATCAGCTTCTGCACTTCCTTGAATTTTGGATGGGCGGCATCCTGCAACAGCCCAAGGATGACGCATTCCGAGGTGGTGAGTACAGCTCCGGCACGACTCATTTGTTTGAACGCAAATTTCCTGAAAAAGTGCATCATATTACGTGAAGAAAGTCCACAAGCTTTCCCTCATTAAAATTTTGTTGCTGGTAAATAAATCGGAATTATCACAACAGACACAGAGACAACTACCAAATATCTAAATATTCAGTCATAAATATCAAACAGTTGAGAAACACTTGATACTTGACACTTAAATGGCCCGCCCCCACTGGTTGTGCGGGCCCCAGCATAGGTGGATCCTGGTATTGGTTTACTCTTGGCTGGGCTTCCTGATGGAAACGCTGGACTCTTTCTCAGCTTGGGAGATCTTGCCAGGGAGATCAATCCCCCGCTGTACATTGCAGCCGGACACCCAGGATCACCTCCCAGCTACGATGACGATGTAAACCGTTAGGAGGAGTTGAAGTAGAATAGTCGATAATCCTTGTCATGGTTCCCTGTCTTGATTTATAACTTATTTCCAGTAGATTTCAGCTGTATCCTATAATTCTACAGCGATTCGGTGGTATGAAGTCGAATTCATCAAATTCAGTGGTAATGCGGCTATTTGCTACACACAGTACAAGAATCACTACACGATGAACATGTTTTTAGAATTGCGACCGTTGGTTCCCAGTAATGTAAATATAGAAATTCCAGTCATACATAACGTTGAAGAGTTATACTTAAGAAGTTTACAGGAATCTGTTGAGATGATTACGTAAATACCTTTCGAAGCAAACACAGTCTGCATACTGTGTAACTTTGACAAATAGAAATACTTCGCACATAGGTCATAGACTGTTCCCTGCACTACGGTAGCAATGTTCAGCTGACCGAAATGCCGACGGGGAATACTATACAAATATTTACAAATTCCAATCAACACACATTGAAAACGTCCTCAGCACAAACTTTTCCATGGAAAACGTTCATCAGCTGGTAATGAATTTAAAGACACTTAAATCAATAGAGTTGAGCTGTCAGGAGGAATGGGTGCCTTAATCGTTCTGTCATATTTTCTACCAATGTGGGAAGAAACGGAGTAAGTGTAGCCTATAATACTCTCTACTACTTTAACCTCGAAAATTCCCTCGTGCACTATCGAAAACAACATACCTAAAAACATATTTAACTTATTACAAACCCTTTTTTAAACACCATTAAAAGTTCCAGAACTTTGGAAAAAAGGTACAGGTTTCTTTTACTCCGCCGTGATGAAATCCTGACTTGTTTAAGCCTAACATTCCTCATTCTGATTCATATTTCAAACACAGAAGCGATTAAAAACAAGGTAAGTTTCGTCCAGAAGGATGCCTTCTTCAGCAATGCATCGTCGATGACTGCACCTGGCTCGCTTATTATACTTTATTACGTGAAAAATTCCTAGACCATATTTTATTCCTACTCTGCACTTCTGTGACATTCCCACTTCGAATACTGCTCAAATTGTCGCGAAATTATCCATAGAAGGGAGCGAAAAGCACAGTGGTAACAGTACTATCCATTACGCGACGGCCCAACTTACACAAGCGCTGGTTCAGCCTCGCATCGAGGGCCACCAAGTCTTCAAACCCTACGGGGTCAGTAAAGCAGTATCAGACATATTTGGAATAAACTCACTCCGTCTAATCCATATGGGAACGCCCTAGTACAGCTATCCAAGGACTTCAGGAAGAATCCACTTGATGAGCAACGACATTCGCGCTACATATAAAAGTTCGAGGACCTTCAACGATGATAAATTCGCGGAAAAAAATCGTATGTTAGAAGTGCTGGGATTCCCATATTAGAAGTGATAGCTGGTCATGTAAAGTGCAAAGAATAAAAAATAATAACAACAAGACAATAACAATAATAATAATAATAACAACAATAGTAACAATAATGTGTCGTTTTCTTGTTCAGCAATCGCGAGGTTTTTAAACAGTCGTCAACCATATGCGACTATAATCAGCTGTTCTAAACTTCCTCATTGGAAGTCACGAAAAAGCGGCTCTGAAGAAGGCGATACTGCCGAAACATCAGCTAGTGTTGTATTGTATTGTGTTCTTCTATGGAAGTAAACGTACACTGTTTAAAAACCTCGCGATTGGTGAACAAGAAAACGACACAATCATATTCCAATGCCGAGGTTAATAGAAAGTTGATCCTGGGAACTAGTAACAATAATAATAATAATAATAATAATAATAATGTGGTGGCGAACACGTTAGCCTCCGGAAAGGGTAACAGCAGGTTCGATTCCCACCGCAGATACCTGCGCTCCGGAATTTTGCAAATGTCTCAGCATCATTATGGCAATAGCAATAATAATTCTGCAACAAAGATATTTTCTTCCTACGAACTGTTTTTGATGAGTCAGACAATCGAATGATAACGAAAACTACCAATTTTTCTAATTAAATGGGAACGTTTGAGGTTTAACAGAGAAGCCACACAGGATCATTCGGTATTCGTAACGGAATACCCTTATACTTCATACTCATTAACAACCCGTGACATAAATTTTCTGTTTAGTAAGTCAGTGTTTCAATACCCTTGTCCTGGTAAACAAACAATAGGTATATGTAGTAAGACTGAGTTTATTTATATAACCACATTAACAATTGCTAAAAATAGTTACTTTTCTACATTCAATCTAAGCAATCTTTTTACTCTGCTATCAAGAAAGCAATCATAATGGATGGCAACAGATCAAGCACCGTTCTGTGTAAAAGAACACTGGCAAGTGAGGTCACTTCATCGTAAAGTGCTCCACGATCTCAGCAAGACCCGGTTCGCAAAGTGGACGGAAAACGTCAGTAACAACAAAAGTTTTTGCCTCCCGCAAACTCAACAACAGAAGATATTCCGGGGATAATTTCACAAAATTGTGGAGGAGCACTGAGGTAATCCTCGATCACTCGATAGAAAGATAGCCATAGGGTATTTAAACATTGGACAGGATTTTGCACAATTCTTTTCATAATGTCAGGATAACTGAATGAACTTGTAATCAACGTTGAAGAATGTTGCCAGCAAACCATTCAGAAAACTACTGACACAAATTTCATGAATGGATTAATGAAATCTACTGCTCTTTGCTCATCATAGTGAAGTGGAGGCAATTCTCCTAAACAAACATCACAAGACACACCTACATAAAGTCAAACAGTTAATTAACACTTGACGCTAAGTTTTCGCCGAAGCTTCAGTTGAGCAAAAGTTTGTAAGATGGCGCCCCTACGGCGCCATTTCCGTCACTAGAAGAGCAAACATACTTCAGTAAACACCAGCAAAGTGAAAGTAGGTGAAGGAAATGAACAGAAAATAAATCCACTTAATGTACAGGAAAACAAGAAATGGATAAAAAAGCCGCCTTGTAGAAGTCACTAAGCGATATGATCAAGATATAAACAACTAAAACGCACTAGTGAACGCAGTAAGCTCAACCTTCAACGAAAAGTTAATCTCATGTTCATCCCCTTGGCGATGAATCTGATTTGCCGATATCTGCCAATAATTTCTCGATAATTAGACCAGTTAAGAATCAAACAACTTAACATGGTAGAAATAATTTCTCCAAAATGTTATTTTAACTTCAACTTGATGGGAGACACCACGAGTCCTAAGGAAAGAATACCCAATTGTTCAATATCGCCTGAAGTATGAGCCTATTCGAAAAAAAGGCGAAAATAAAAACGTTCCATGCGCTCCAAAAAAAGTCACAATTTTGTCTCAGAAGGATTAAAAAAATCTTCATATTATTCATAAAAATCATTAGATCTCAGCAATTTTTTCGTCAATTAATAAAGTTCACTACTAATGCACGTCTGTTCAACACATAACACCCCAGGTGCAATCTGTGCAATGCATGCGTAGAAGAGCAAATCGTGACTACGACTTCAACATCGTCACCATTGTGATTTTGGGTCCTGTGCATACTCATTTTTCTTGGTCGCATTTTAAGCTTTCCATTTTGGTGTTGTTTTATTTGGATAAAAAGTAGTCTACTCCTTCCACCACTACTACTTTCACTATCGCCGCATCTCTGATAGCAGATCAGTAAATTGAACTTGAAGTCATGCAATCCCTGTCCCTTCCATTAGGTTAACCGCGCAATCCTTTGTTGTAAATAAATGGTCATATAAGTGGCGGAAGCAGTACGTGAAGTGTGTGGTAGTAATTAAATAACTGCCACACAACTCTCTAGCCATTACTTTTTACACAACTCTTAAGAGCGGTGCTTATTTCGTAGAAGAGAAATGTTAGTTTAAAAAGGAACCTCATTTAGGCCAGAAGTAAATTACGAGATATGACCTTCCCTTTAGACTCAACCAGATTGGCTGCTGTTTCGTAGCTCTGGAGATAGTTATTTGTCGTGCAAAGCGTATCTTCCCACTTCTTTTCCTGTTGACACGCCTGTAGTATTCGGTGCATGTTTCTGATAAGTGCTTTTGTGACACTGCAAAAACAAGCCTGCTGACCTGATGATCTGGTTAGAAAGTT